ATAAAGCTTGATATTTGAATTGTTCAAATAATTTTGTATGTAACCATGAATACTGTAATGCCGGACAAGCAGATACTAAAAGACCAACCATTCTAGCAAAATCTCTTAATTTACATTTGTTTTTATGTAAAAAATTATGGATATAATTTTTTACTTTTTCTTTTTTATCTGTAGGTAATTGCATAATCATCTTATCAGAATCAAAACAGAAACCGAGAAATCTACAGTTCGTACTAGGATTCAAACAGCTCTTATCACGATTTATAATGAACCCTAACTTTTTGAGTAATAAGCATGTGTTTTCTATATTATACTTGCAATCGATATAATCTATTCCAATACAGAGAATGTCATCTAAGTATATTACAGATATACAATTTTTGGATCGCATAAATTCCATAACCGGTTTTAATAACTTTGTGAAAACATACGGAGCTGTGCATAAACCAAATGGTAAACAATTAAACTCGTAAAGTGTACCATTATAATTAAATCGTAATAGTTTTCTATGTATTTTATCGATGTTAACAAAAAAATAGGCGTCCTTTAGATCAATAGAACCCATATGACAATTTTTAGTTATTAATTTTATTGTCGTTCTGTAATCTTCCATTTTAAAATGATCGGTGCTTATAAATTTATTAAATTGTTTTAGGTTTAGAATAAAGCGTTTTTTGCCATTTGGTTTAGTCACAAGAAATATATTGGATATGAATTCTCCATCTTCATGGAAGCATTTTGATATCGCATTGATATCGATTAGTTCCTGAATTGCTTTAATAAATTCGTTGTGCTCTTGTGAAGATTTAGGGGTGGTACATGGTATTACAGTTTGAACTGGTTGTGCGACTAATGGTATTTTATAACCTTTTATCCATGATAATAAAACACGATCATTAGTTATCCGAATCCATTGATTGTAAAAATATTGTAATCGACCAGCGTATTGACTTACCTGTGAATCTATCTCCGATGATTCTTCCTGGTCGGTGAGAATGCTCGTCGCGGCGGCGGTGGTGCTGGCGGGCGTAACGATACATTGCTGCGAGGCTGACGTGTCGAGGCACGACCTCTTGATGTTTCGTTGTTTCTGAATGGTGGTTTCCTTTGTATTTGGCCCCTGTAGTTTAAATTCCGGGTTTTTGACATATTTTTGTAAATTGACACCCTGCTAGTTGATGCTACAGGATTAATTTGGGATAATGATTCTCCTGTTTTCTGTACAGATTTTGCTGCTTTGAGCTTCTCTGCTAAATCTTCACCAAACAAGAATTTATCTCGTTTAGTAGTATCGAACGTATCGCGTAGACTACAATTAATAGAACTCATAATAATGTTTCGTCTAGTTTTTGTTTCCACGTTATGACTATCGCACAATAAACGACACGCATCACTAAGAGGTTGTAGCAATTTTTGCTTGGAGTTTTCATTCTGCAGAATCATCTCGGTGAGCTCAGCCAATGCAGACAATACAATCCCAATCTGACTTTGTTTTTGTAATAGCGTAGCATCTCTCTTGACTAATATATCCGGCATTGCAACCTTAGCTTCTGGATTTAATATTGGAGCCATTAAATTACTACAGTTAGCTGGAATAAAGTATCTTTTAAGAATAATATCTTTAGCTTCTTTTGGTAAACCCTTTATTAATATATCTTCCCAACGGGAAGCGATATTTGAGTGAATATTTTTACCAAACTTTATGTCTGGCTGAGGTGCCTCACCTAATATTTGCAAAATATCATCTTCTAGTTGCATCTCTTCTGGTGTATTTACGTAAACATTTATTTCTTCTTTGTCTGGGACAGGCGAAGGATTTAAACCAGTGACAACTGGGTCCACATTTGGCGACTGTGGTAAAGGAGACATCAGATCGGGCATGTCTAATGCTATCTCTTGTTGAGATGGCGACATTCCGATTGAATTCTATACTTGGAACTGTAGTTAATTGTTCTGACGAAACTCGTCTTATATCAGTATTCACTGTATCGTCGGCGTTGTCAGAATCTGCACAACAAATAATAACATTATAATTATAAATCAACACCTTCAAGTACCGTCAACGACAGTTCATATTAACTGCCAACGGCAATAGTGGATCGCCAATAGCGATAGGAAATTGACTAAAATTTACTTACCATTATCATCTGATGAAAGTATACGTCTTCGTCGATGTAATTTCTGTTCCAATTTCCTCATCTTTTTCATAATTCTTGCCTCTTCTTTTTCTCGTTTTCTCTTGTTTCCCATATTTAAAATATTGTATTTTAAAAAATAACGAACTTTGAATTAAGAAACACTAGGGTTGCGGTATGCGTGCGAAGGCTTTGAGCACGAAAACGCGAATGACTAACTCGAACGATTACATTTAAAACGTAGCCTCGCCCCACTTACAAGGAGGGGAGTGATTGGCTTGCAATAAAAAAAAAAAAAAAAAAAAGAAGGTATTTAAATTATCGTGCTAAGGTCTAGAGTAGATGGCGCTACTACATTATGTTAAACGGAAATCGCAAAGAATGAAGCTGCGAAACATAATACAAGTTATCTAAATGTCGTTTGGCTAAAGTTAGTACTCGTAATTCGTTTTATGGCAATTGCGTAAGGTTTTACAATAAAATACCAGAGTCTGTTATATATCTGCCAGAAAAAAGATTTAAATGTCAAATAAAACGGTTCCTTTGCAAAAAAGCTTACTATACTAATTGAAGAATTCGTTAACGATAATAATGTTTTTATAGAAATACTTTATATCCATAGCACTGACAATATTATCTGATTACACTAATAATGAGTGCGTAGCGATTTCTATGTTGATTATCGCATGCCTCTTATTTATTATACTGTAATTATTTATATAAAGAAACATCTATTGAAAAGAGCAACACACAAGTTTCTTACTCATTCTTCTTTTGATGAATCTGCATTCCGAATGAGTGGTAGAATCAAAATATGACTATTGAAAAGTGCTTGTAATGAGTTATTGAGTTGTAATGAGTATTTGAATAAAGTTAATTTCTATTTCTATTTTTAATCTTACTTCAATAATGAGTCTAATATATATGTACACATGTCGATTCCCAATACTCTTCTTCACTTCGAAGCAAAGTAGCATGTTAAAAGTAAGACCACCGAAATTACTAAGTCTTACATTTTAGAGCATTATTTTAATTGGACATCAAATATTTCCTGATAAGTGTATGTACTTGTAAACTGTGCTATTTTTCTGACATTTCTGTAAAGTCATGGAAAATTTTACTAAACATTCGCTAATGCTAGTTTCCATAATGGAACTATGGGAACAATTTTATGGATTTTTAAAATTAATAAAATATACCATCAAGATAAAGTCTAGATTCTCCCAGCTACCAACGTCAATCCATCCAATTTAGCGATATATATTCTTTTATCTGGTTTTCTACTGGTTTATTTTCCGAACTATCGTAAAATACCTTTTCAAATTACTCTGACACTTTATTGACGAAAATATTATGTACAGAAATATTTTTAATAGTGTTGTATTCGCTGTAATCGCAGCTTATGCGTATCGATTATTTCTTATCGATTTGTGTGGGTTACCCCTGTACTCAACATATAAGTACATAGATTTCATTGATTGATTATTATTTTTTGATGTTTCACAAATAACAGACTTATAGCTTTAAAATTTAATTCTCATAAATATTAAATACTGTCAAGTGCTTGTCGGATTAGATGAACATATCTTATCACAATAATATCTATGTCTATCTAAATCATTCTGTCGTAATTGATGTCCATTGTTCTATAGCTGTTAATTTATTATCTATATTTTTAACATATGAAATACTTTCACGTTTTTCATTAAAAACGGGGTTACCATTTTTTTTTCGGACTACTCTAATACTGTTGGCCGTAGCTGGCCTTTACAGCTTCACCGGACGTTAGGGGTGAGTGCAGATGGCACTCCAAACCCGCGGAAGGAGTTATGGAGCGGCTGAAGGCAAACCTTTGCCTGACGGATACGACTTTAGTCTAAGGGCACCACTAGGGGTTCGAACCTCGGTTACCAGAGGGAATGTTAACTGCAGAGAATTTACTGTTTTCTTTTTAATTTGTTTTATTTATACTTAATACATGTGTTACTTTATTTATAATTTTACATTGAATATTTTCTATATTGGAATTTTATTTGTGATATCACTAGCCCCCAAACTAGGTCAGACATGTATCTTGGGGAATTTATTGACATTGGATATTTCGCTTAGTTTGAATTATCCGTAGCAAGGTTTTTGTTTTAATTTGGGTTTTTATCTTTAATTCCATTACCGGAGTTTAATCAGAAATATAAATAGACACTCAAATCTTTGACCTCACGACTAAGTCAGGGAACCATTGGCAACAACGCTCACAATAGTGAAGAAAGCCAGATTCTGCTCTAAGTCTGCCAGAAAAAATTTTAATCTCTTATAAATCATTTTAGCTTATTATAAAATTGACAATATTATAAATCATAAAAATGTTTTTGTTGAAAAAATCTAACTTAAAATTCATAGTGCTGACAATATTATGTGATTGCACGAAGACTGAGTGTGTAGCGGTTTCTATGTGGATTGTCTCATGTTTAATCCTTGTTAATGTGCAGTTACTTACATAGAACGACATATACTTAAAAGAGCAACACATACGTTTCTTTTTCATTTTTCTTGAGATAAGTCTGTTTCCGAATGAGTGGTACATCACAAAAATATAAAGATTATTTATATTATTTTAAATCTTATTAATAATATTATAAATGCGAAAGTTTGTTAGTTTGTTACTTTTTCACGCAAAAAATACTGAACAGATTATGATGAAACTTTACAGTAATATAACTTAGAGATCAGAATAACACACAAGCTAAAAATAACAAGTGCACGCAGCTGCGGGCACAGCTAGTTTTACCATAATTGTTAGAATTTATAATCAATTGCCTATTCTCTTCATAGGAGCAAATTAAACATTTCCATCAATGTTCTTTCCAGTGGTATTTCTACATGAATAGAAGGCATTTGGCACACGAGTGGAAACTTCAACCTACGAAATGGCTCTCTCCTGAACTGGAACGGCACGAGATCTTCGTTGGGACCTCCTCGCTCCTGATCACTGGAAGCTTCTCTGCTGCTCTCGCTACTTACATATACAATGGCAATCCATCCACGGTCTATTACCAGTTCGATGAGTACGGATGGCTGTGGTTCTTCTTGCAATTCCCCGTTATCTTCATTTATGCGGTAAGTAATATTAAATTACTTGAATATTTTTGTTATATGACTGGAAGTCAATTTAGCTGATGGATCACCTTATGGAAAGTGATGAAAATGGATATAGTAATAGTACAGACAATTCACACAGCGCCATCTAGTCTCAAGCTAAGCAGTGCTTGTGTTATGGTTACTAGACAACTGATATAAATACATATTAATATTTTTTTAAAGTATATACTTAATATAGGTACATAGAAAACCAACAAGACCGATGCAAGCAATCATACTCATGAATTCAAATGTTTATATCATGTGAGGAACCGAATCTACTACCATCGGAAATAAAGTGGTGTGCTAAACCGCTAGACTACTGAGTTCATCAATTAAAGATATAAACATTAACACACGACCACGGATTCTATGACTCTTGGTACGGTGTTATTATTAGGCACATTGATTGAAGTAGAAAAAGTATAATCCATCACATTTAAAATGAGTATTGTTGCTAAGTAACAGTTTGTATGTAACGTGCAACTGCAATCGGAACGAAGTAAATTATATTTACAACTGTATACGTAATCCACTGAAGTCCAACAGAAATTGTTAGTATTTTAACAGATTTAATTTTGGATATGTTTTTTGCTAGTAGTTCTATTGTTTACTCTTCTGTATATTGTTTTATATTATGTATGTTATTTAAATGTAGAGATGTAGAATGTCTTAAATGTAATGGATTAAGGGACCGTATTAGGCACATTGATTGAAGTAGAAAAAGTATAATCCATCACATTTAAAATGAGTATTGTTGCTAAGTAATAGTTTGTGTGTAACGTGCAACTGCAATCGGAACGAAATAAATTATATTTACAACTGTATACGTAATCCACTGAATATCTCTATCAGTTATCTGAAACTTGTCGTTCATGACAGACTCGGGTCTTCTGAACCTTCCTATAGGAGGATGTAGATTGTGGCTTCTGGTTCGAAACTCTTTACCCCGCTATCTTCTCCAGGGACAAGAATCCCTTGATCCCTGGCTTTAAGCCTCACTTCTACTTATCTTTTTATATCATCATCATCATCATCATCATCAGCCACTGCTGAACAAAGGCCTCCCCCAAGGATTTCCACGATGATCCGTCCTGCGCTGCTCGCATCCAATGCCTTCCAGCGATCTTGACCAGATCGTCGGTCAACCTTGCTGGAGGCCTTCCCACGCTGCGACTTCCGGTCCGCATTTTTTTAGTGCTGAAGTTTTAATATCTCCAGAAACATTTATATCTCAGTTAATATAGGATACAAAACAAAGCTTGGCGGCTGACAAAGATGAGGCAGAGGTACACACTATAACTCGGCAAAAGTGTAATCAAATCTACCAAATAATACAAATCTTAATTCAAATCGTAAACCTTTTAAACTGTTAGAATAGTAAACTCAATACTAAGTGACTCAGTGAATTCGGATTGTGAATACGTGAAATGACAATCTTGCAAGGAGCCTGAAAGCGTGCTGGTGTTTATACAAGTCAGTTGTTTGTTTTACCTGAGAATTCAGAATTGCATTTAGGTTAATCACTTACCTACTTGGATAGATATATATTACTATGTTTAGGTTGTCTGTTAGATATTGCTTTCAACGATGAGGCCTTTTGATAAGCATATTTTTGCATAGTGCTCTTTTATACTGTTACTTACTGCGTGCAATAAAAATTTAAATACCAAAAATTATATCTTGTATTATATATCCGTAAAACTTTCAAATATTTTATTATATTTATATATATGTATTAATATCTTCCTTTGATGAGGTAATAAACGGGTGAAAATCACCAAATAATGACAACTTGTATAAAAGAAATGATTATGATGACAAAAATTTGCGGCCCATTTCATGTGTTCAGTATTACAGCGTTTTGGAAAAGTATCAAAGTAAGTGGGTGGAGATATAATATTTTGAGGCTAGTGTCTAAGGATTTTGGAATAATTGGGAGAGTTTTCACTTATTCTACCTGCCATTGTATTATTAGTTTATTATTATTACTATACTACACTCGCATTGGCTAGAGTACTACATTATTCATCAGTGTTCCTTTATAAATATATTTGGATCTAGAATTAAAGATAGTATTTGAATTTAATTATACACATATATAAATTATTTTGGTATGTACACTTTATGGAAGTTGTTAGTGTGGATACCTCTGACTCACTTATTTCAGCCACTAAGCAGTTGACCTAGTAATTTGTATCTCGGTCGATAGGGAGACATGGTAATAAAATTACAAAGTATGGAAGAAAGTCTATTTACTATGAGCATTTATTTACATCCCATACACAAGCTCTACTTAGTTCACTACCGTTGACCGCAATGGGATAGTCATTACAAATTTAAATTTTAAACTCACCGGATCCAGATCCTTGGTTACTGCCTCCATCTTCTGCTTTAGACAGATCAATAGCATCTCCTTTTTCAGTAGGCTTCACTTCAGGCACTCTAGCCTCCATAACATCAGGCTTAGCAGAGACTAGAATTGAGCCTAGATCGCGTGATGTGAAATTTATTAATATGTCGTCGTCATCATCACCATCATCGCTATCATCATCATCATCACTATCATCATCATCATTATCACTATTATATTATGATTATTATTATTATCCTCACTATCGTTTCTCTCTCAGCTTATATTGTTTTTTTCCATACTTACGGGCCAGAACCAAGTAAGTGCAGTATGTCATTATTATTATTATTTTCTTTTATAGGACTACACAACATATATACTTCATCGGCTGTACCATACTCCATGGCTCTACAAGCACTTCCACAAGCTCCACCACAAATACAAGCAGCCTACTGCCTTCTCCGTCACGGCCATACATCCAGTGGAGATCATGCATATTCAGCTTACTATGTGTCTACCTTTGTTTACGGTTCCCACACATTGGTGTAAGTATAATTTCTAAATATAATCAATATAATATACCATCACGATTGTCCCAGATGGGGTAGTCAGAGTCTAGATCAATTCTCGACGTAATGATGAATGCAACGAATGCATTTTGTAATTGTTATCTGGAGGAAAAAATCATATAACGAGTCCGGGAGGAAACTTCTTTCTGCGCACCCTCAAATGCGGAAGAAATGACCTGTCTACCTGAGGTACTGCATGAATTCAAGAATTAGCATACTTTAAGGATCGTCAATGCCCATGTAACACTCCTAGTAACTCAAATATCCTTAGGCTACGGTAACCGTTTACTATCAGTTGGGTCGTATGCTTGATTGCCATCTACGTAGTACGAAAAAAGACTGATGTAAAGATCAGATGCAGGGCACTTATTCCATATGCTTGTTTGGCAGCTAGTAGTATAAAAAAAGGCTGATGTGATGCAGGGCGCTTTCAGGGCGCTCAAAGTTTACCATTTTAATGCAGATATTACACAAGCTCTGTTATTTTGAGAATACATATAGATAAGGCGCCGTGTACTGATTCGATTTCGTGACTCCTGCAATAGGTGCATCATCAAGATACCTTGGAGTTTTTAGTGAGTAGGAGCCTCACAGTACCTGCTTGCCTCCCCGTGATGGACGGGTTTCCATGAGGGAATTTCTTCTTCTTCCGGCCTTATCATTTTCATTTGAGGTCGGCTCTCCTAATCTGACCTCTCCAGTGATGTCTATTCTGGATTGTTGTCGGCTCTATGTTGCCGTTGTCCTTAAGGTCCTTACTAACTACTGACATCCTTGTTAATCGGGGTTGTACACGCTTTTTCGGTCCTGAGTTGAGGTCGAGAACTTTCTCGTCAAGTGGTCTTCCGGTTTCCTCATGACATGGCCATACCATCTAAGTCGTGCTTCAACTAGCTTATCCAGTAAAGATATTATTCTGAATATGCCTCTGATATAGTGATTTGACACTTTGCCCAAGAGGGTAACTTCGCAAAACTGAAGTGGGCAGGGCATATAGCTCGTAGGACAGATGGCCATTGGGGTAGTAAAGTCCTCGAGTGGCGACCACGGACCGGAAGACGCAGCGTAGGAAGGCCTCCAGCAAGGTAGACCGACGTTCTGGTCAAGATCACTGGAAAGCATTGGATGCGAGCAGCGCAGGACTGATCGTCATGGAGATCTTTGGGGTAGGCCTATGTCCAGCAGTGAACGTCTTTCGGGCTGCGATGATGGTGATGATTCTCATCTCAGCGACATGAATTAAGTCCATGATAAATATTACTAAGTTAAAAAAAAATTACGCTGTATTGTTTAGGGTTATTATTATTAATTTATTTCTACGTTTGTTGCAGTACCATTCTATGCTATAGCGCTATACAATTATTACCACGGAATCATCGATCACTCTGGTATTAACTTCAAATCATTCTGGTGGCAACCCTGGCAGCCCGACGCGGAGTTCCACGACAAACACCATGAGTTCTTCCACTGCAACTTCGGTTTCAACATGAGCGTTTGGGATAGAGTAAGTTCAAGTCGCTATTTTCTATTATATTATCTTACTAATCTAATAAACTCGAAAGTTCGTGAATATGGATGGATGTTTGTTACTCTTTCACGTAAAAAACTACTGAACGGATTTTGATGAAATTTTACAGTAATATAGCTTATACAATAGTATAACACATAGGCTATAAATTTCATGTGGGTGAAACCACAGCTCGTATATATAAATTTACAAAAAATATATATGTATTTACATCAGTTGTCTAGCACCCATAATACAAGCTCAGCTAGCAGCTGGGGACTGGATGGCGTTGTGCGAATAGATTATAGACTGTGTTTACAAATAGCATTCTTAACTGTATACAAATCTAGAAAATAAATAAAAAAAATATTTATACAAATTACATGCTTGACTGTACATAAATTTAGAAAAAATAACCATAAATAAAAAAAATATTTATACAAATTACATGCATTACTGTATACAAATTTAACTTAAGGGTCGGCAACGCGCACGTGACACCCCTGGTGCTTCAGGCGTCCATAGGCTACGGTAACCATTTACCATCAGATGCCACCATAGTAGTATAAAAAAAAAAATTTAGAAAATTCGATCTTAAATAAAAAAATAATTTATTTTATTTAGAGGCGTTTATTACTAAGTGTGCTTAATGGACTTGTGAACAAAGTAGGGTGCTTAGCTAGTTAATATAGTATAAGCGTTGTTACTTTGTGTACTGTGGAAATTTGTAACAAAACATCGAGATTGCAATTTTTTTTTCCAATAACATATCATGTATGTTCAAACAAAATATATAAGATATTAAATTTACTACATTAACAGAGTAATCAATATTGTCTATATAGATTGACTAGCTTCTCTGCTGCGAGTTTGTTCGTGTAACTGATTGAGTTACTTACCTACTCTCTCTCCCCTCTGATCGATCCCCGTTCAATTCAAACGGGGTCGATATTACGACGGCCTGAGCCGAGGTTCGAACTCCTAGCGGTGGCCTAAGACTAAAGTCGTATCCGTCAGGCGGGAGTTGGCTTACAGCCGCTCCATAAGTCCTTCCTTGGTTTGGAGTGTCATCTGCACTCGCCCCCTATCGTCCAGTGAAGCTGTAAGACCAGCTTCGGAACAGCATTAGAGTCCGAAAATAACTGTCTTTTAGTCGAATCTGAGACACAAATAAGTACTACTTTATGCAGCAGTGGAGAATCAAAGTACTCTAATGTCAGTCTCTAAATGATTAGAGTAGTCCGAAAAAAAATAACCTATCTCAATTATTACATTTCATTGATGTTTAGGGAATCAATATTAATACAAAAAATTTTACATTCATAAGCTAAAAAGTCCTACAAGAATAAATGGTTTTTGATTTGATTTAATCTTATATATAAAATTCTCGTGTCACAGTTTTCGTTCCCATACTCCTCAGAAACGGCTTGATCGATTCTCATGAAATTTTGTGAGCGTATTGAGTAGGTCTGAGAATCGGCCAACATCTATTTTTCATCCCCCTAAATATTAGGGGTAGTCCACCTCTAAATTTTTTTTTCTATTTTTCAGACAAAATTTTTAGTTTCTATTTTTTTATGATACAACATACAAAAATACATACAATCCTAAATTTTCACCCTTCTATCATCAACCCCTATTTTTTTATAGCGTTATTAATTTATATGGCAAAACAACGTTTGCCGGGACAGCTAGTTTATTTATAAGATTTGATTTAATCTATTTACACTTCCTAATGTAACGATAATAAATACACAGTTATTGTTTAAATTAATTTATTTATGGGGTAGTTTGAAACCTCACCACGTATTATCAAGGAGGGGGGATTAAAAAAATGCTTAAAAAACATCACGTGATTAATGGACGGCCCGTATATTGTTTTTTTTATTTTCTTTATATATATATTCTGTATATATCTATCACATAGTGAATGATTTTATATCTCTCTTTTGTCTAGTTACATGGCACCATGAGAAAGAAGAACTTCCTATATACCGAGGATACGTACCACGGTGAAGCACCAGCGATCGATTCACCAGAAGCTAAAGCTCTCATAGAGAAGGATCCAGAACTTAAAAAAGAGTACCAAAAAGAGAAGAAGACTAAATCTAAGACTGACCTAGATACAGCTCGATAAGCAGAAATATAATTTAAGTTTTATCTTGACATTCTGTTTTATTTCGTAATGGTTTCGCACTGAGGAATGGTCTCGATACTTTTATTTATTTATTTATTGCTTCTCATATAGTACATTATAGTTATTATTAATAAAAAGTACATAAGATGTCTTATGATTGATATGATTGTGACACCCCGTAGGGGCACTGCAATTACATTATAACTATATACAGTTAGGTACATTAGAGTAATTAGTTAAGTTCATAAATAGACGTCGTTAATTTATACAATGTCAATAAATTTATGAATGAATTAAATAATATGTGAAACAATATAATAAATCGAACAATCAAATCATACACAGTTCCATAATAATATAATCAAATAAAATTATCATATTATACATTCATGAAATGATCATCTGTTAAGAAATCTGTAATTGTTAGTATGTGGATTAATGAACATTGCTGTCAATATATCACGTTATAATAATAATAATAATAATATCTCTGCACTTACTTGGTTTCGGCCCGTAAGTGTGGAGAAAACCAGCAATAGCTGAGAAAAAATAAAGAATAACAATAATAATAATCATTTATTCAGCATAAAAAAGAGTACAGAGTAAAAAAGAAAACTTAAATACTAATAATCGTCTATGCTGAAAAGGTTTCCACTCAGCTGGTGCCGCAGCATGTTACTACAGCGCTGATTTTCAGTGGAGCCACTTGAAAAAAAGAAAAAAAGAAATAGCAGGTTAGGTTGATTGACGTTAGGTTGACCTCCACGCGGCATCCCCTGGAAACCACCATGATAAATTCCTAGTGAATTTGTCATGATGGATAAACTGCCCCACTTCATGTTCATCTTATCATACTCTACAGGTTCTTCGTCAGCGTGAACCGTTGCAAACCAACCTGCAGGTGGATGCAGCATTCCATATTCATCTACCTTCAAGAATAATAATAATATCTCAGGACAATTCACACAGCGCCATCTAGTCCCAAACTTAGCAGAGCTTGTGTTATGGGTACTAGACAACTGATACATACATAATAATTAAACACTCAGACTAATACAAACAATGATATTCATGAATACAAATGTTTGCACCGTGCGAGAAATCGAACCTACCATTGGCAGTAAAGCAGTATGCTAATCCGCTAGACCATCATTATCATCATCATGGTGATGGTCTATGATGATGACGAGGATTACTTTATAGAAACTTACGATAAGATCGGACCTGTGCTATACCAAGCACAGGTCCGATCTTGCATGGAGTATTTTCCCACCACTTATGGGATGGATCCGCTCAGTACCAACTTGACGCTCTAGACGCAATCGACAGACGAGCAAGGAGACTTATCGGGGACGAATCACTTGTAGCTAAGAGGCTTCAAAGTCTTAATCACCGACGTAAAGTAGCTTGTCTATCGGTGCTCTATAGGCTCCATTTTGGCGAATGTGCTCAAGAACTGCACAACCTCATTCCTCCAGCACCGTTCCATCAACGTACAACAAGACGTAGAGAGCGGCTCCACACTATTGACATCCCAGCTGCTCGAACTAACCGTTTTGCATCATCTTTCCTTATGCGAGCAGCTAAGGAGTGGAACTCTCTACCAGCGTCTATTTTTCCTGCCTTTTACAACATTGGGTCTTTTAAGTCAAGAGTGAATAGGTATTATTTGAGCTTGCGTGTAACAGCTTAGACCACATCATCACTTAACATCAGGTGAGATTGCGGTCAAACGCGCTCAAATTACGATATATAAAAAAAAAAGTCTAATCTAGATAAGATATTAGATCTACAGTCTAGTATGATACGGTAATAACCCCCTAAAGTAAGAGAAATATATAAAAATAATTAATACCATATTAACGAAACTATTTACTAGTTAAACTGTTACAAATTGTGACGGCTGACAAAACAATTTTCCTTGCAAATATTTCACCAATGAAAATAAAGAATATTTCACCGCCCACGACGTCAACAAAGCCCCAGATTGAAACAATGCCTGGAACATAATAAGATCGGCTCCTTTTCAAGGGCGCTTAAGTTTTTTTCCGTCAAGACCGAACCGAATGTACCCATATTTCGGTGTCATACGACATTATTTCGAGCATGTTGCAATCATGCATTTAATAAAATTATAGCCATTCGATATCTTTCAGTATATTTTCTGTCTGTCCCTATGTATGCGTATATCTTTAAAATTACTAAACGGATTTTAAAGCGATTTTTTTAATAGGTAGAGTGATTCAAGAGGAAGGGAATCTCTAAAGATATACAATACATGTATACCCGTGCGAAGCCGGGGCGAGTAGCCAGTACAGTATAAATCAAAGTCATCGCCTATTTCTTTTAAATTACACAACGGATTTTAATAAAGTTTTCGGCGATAGAGTGTCTCAGAGGAAGATTTATACGTGTAATGCATGCGTTTTAGAGTATATAACAAGTTAAGAAATTCCAAGATTTGTAATGCATTCTTTCAAAGCCGGGATGAGTAAACTGTAAAGTTCTGTAGTGTTTTCGGGAAAGAATAACAAACATCCATCCAAATAATCACAAACTTCCGCGTTTACGACGACTTTCTAATCAGTAGAAATGATCCATCCAAGAAATCATAAACTTCCGCGTTTACGACTTTCTAATCAGTAGAAATGATCCATCCAAACGATCACAAACTTCCGCGTTTACGACTTCCTAATCAGTAGAAATGATCCATCCAAACAATCATAAACTTCCGCGTTTACGACTTTCTAATCAGTAGAAATGATCCATCCAAACAATCATAAACTTCCACGTTTACGACGACTTTCTAATCAGTAGAAATGATCCATCCAAACAATCATAAACTTCCGCGTTTACGACTTTCTAATCAGTAGAAATGATCCATCCAAATAATCATAACCTTCCGCGTTTACGACTACTTTCTAATCAGTAGAAATGATCCATCCAAACAATCATAAACTTCCACGTTTACGACGACTTTCTAATCAGTAGAAATGATCCATCCAAACAATCATAAACTTCCGCGTTTACGACTTTCTAATCAGTAGAAATGATCCATCCAAATAATCATAACCTTCCGCGTTTACGACTACTTTCTAATCAGTAGAAATGATCCATCCAAACAATCATAAACTTCCGCGTTTACGACGACTTTCTAATCAGTAGAAATGATCCATCTAAACAATCATAAACTTCTGTTTTTACGACGACTTTCTAATCAGTAGAAATGATCCATCCAAACGATCACATACTTCCGCGTTTACGACGACTTTCTAATCAGTAGAAATGATCCATCTAAACAATCATAAACTTCTGTTTTTACGACGACTTTCTAATCAGTAGAAATGATCCATCCAAACGATCACATACTTCCGCGTTTACGACGACTTTCTAATCAGTAGAAATGATCCATCTAAACAATCATAAACTTCTGTTTTTACGACGACTTTCTAATCAGTAGAAATGATCCATCCAAACAATCACAAACTTCGGCGTTTACGACTTTCTAATCAGTAGAAATAATTTCTATTAATAATAAACATCACCTATGAATTTATCGAGTGCTGTTAAGAATATTACGCCGTTCAGAAAAGAATTCCGCCTTTTCACGTCGACCATTTATCACTCTCGTGAGACGGAAAAAATTGCGTTGGCCTTAAGGGGCCAAGTGAACATAATGTGTAGAGAGCGCTTCCGTTTGATTTATACCGGAGGAAGCTATTCAAAGGGCGCCGTAATGAAACTTCAATACTGTTGTTATAATTATTGCCATGTACGTGAGGTGGAAGAATAATAATCTATATATCTATACATATAAATAAAACTGGAGTGTCTGTTTGTGATATTGAAATAACTGTTTTTACTACATGCATATGAATATAAATATGGTAGATAAACCAATAATTTTTACAATTTTTGTCTGTCTCTTTGTTCCGGTTAATCTCTGAAATGGCTGGACCGATTTTGACGGGACTTTTATTAGAAGGTAGCTGATGTAGTAAGGAGTAATTTAGGTTACTTTTATTTTAGAAAAATAAAGTTCAATTCCACGCGGACAAAGTCGCGGGGACAGCAAGTAAGAAATATAAATAATCTTTATTGAAATAAACTCAATACAAGTACTTTTGAACAGACATTTTCTTTTCTACCTCATTGTTTTGCCTTAAAATAAAAATAAAAATTTAGGGGTGGACTACCCCTAACGTTTAGGGGGATGAAAAATAGATGTTGGCCGTTTCTCAGACCTACTCAATACGCTCACAAAATTTCATGAGAATCGGTCAAGCCGTTTCGGAGGAGTATGGGAACGAAAACTGTGACACGAGAATTTTATATATAAGATTCAGTAGGCCTGAGAATTTAGTAGACCTTTCATACGACTCAGTAATAGGGGTTACCTACCCCTAATTTTATTTAATATTTTGAAGAGTTATTTTTTATGATGTGTCAATAAAAATACATACAACCCAAAATTTTCACCCTTCTACCATTAACTCCTATTTTGTAACAGTGATTTTAATTTATATGGCAAAACAACGTTTGCGGGCTCATCTAGTGTAATAGAACATTTTATATGTTGATAAATTCATATCAAAACCATATCGTTAAAAGTTAAATTTAAATTTTAAAGTAACTTTTAACCACGACTGAACTTTGTGTATCAGTTTTCATATGTAAATATGGTTTCCAACCATACTTTATAATAACGTATCCTACTTTATTATTTGGTATTTATAGTTTGTACATAAAGTATGCAAGAATACTTTATTTACCGTGATGCGTAAGATTTGAACAATACTTTTTTTTCCTAACCAGTTTACACGTTTTTTTTTTGTCAAAAAAAGTTGGCAACCGTAGGGTTTACATATAGATATACTTTTTTTATAGGTAGCTGATGTAATAAGGAGTAACTTAGGCTACTTTTATATTAGAAAAAAATCTTTTATTTTAGGAAAGTAAAGTTAAATTCCACGCGGACGAACTCGCGGATATAGCTAGTT